GTTGACAAGTTAAAACTAAAATTGCATCTTTTTATGGATTTTACAAGGACTGAATTTAAACTCATTTTAAACATGAATTTATTATTAATCAGTGAGCATTTAAATTTGTTTGAAAAATGCATATGTCTGTTTTTTAGATAAAATATCACATGACATTTTATTTGGCTGTATTTTTTTTTTGTTATCAGACAACTACTCCAGCTATGCAGACTAATACTACCTTAATTCATTTTAATATTACCTCAATATTACATCATCATGTAAAATACCTTTTGCAGGGGATTATTTTTTATTGTGCAACACATAATGGGATTATATCTGAGTTCAAATCTGCTGGACCAAACTGCGGATAGAGAGACATTTTCTCAGTAAACTGAAATGACAGTTTTTCAACTTTCACTTTTTAACCAAACCTCTAGATTGTTTTGCTTTCTTTCTGACATTTTCTTCACCATCTCTAGTTAGTTTTTTTTTCTTTTTTTGCTGAGAGGCTGTACTGTCCAAATGCATGAGGCTCATTATATTGTAAGTTATATAAAAAGAAAACCCAATTAACTTTAATTGTCTTTGTAGTGAAGAAAAAAATCCCTCTTTAGTGAAAAAAATGTGAGCTATGGTAAAGGGTTAATCCAGCCCATAAACTTTGTGTGTCCTTTAAATTTGAGGGGCTAAACACATTTAAAAAGGCGAACCAAGCATCACCAGATACATAAATAGAATCAAATACCCTATGAATCACATATCACCAATGATGCCTCTTTCATTTCTTATAATGCCCCTTATTTACATCTAACTCCTTCTGCACTGTAAAGCCTGTCTACACGAGGCAATGCAGGGCTTCTGTTATGAATTTAAATTCCCAAAATCCGACCACAGTTTAGTAGCTGTTTTCAAGGACTAAACTTTTCTGTTTTTTCTTTCTTTTTTACCACTGACCTGCTTAAAGTGCCACATACAGTTAAATCATCCATCCTCTTTCTTCACTGCCGTCCATGCTAACAATCCATTTTTCTTCCCACAAAATGGGTAGTCACTCA